CCTCAGCTGTCTGTGGTCTCTGATTGGATCAGCCGTCTTGTCTTTTCCTGCGGGGGGAGGGGGTTGCTGAGGCCCTCAAACAGCTAGAATGTATTGTCTCAGGCTGGAATGCTTGTTCAGGCAGAGCATCTGAAATCAGGGCGCTGACTGGATGGGTTCCCACTGAGTGCTGTGAGGAAGGATCTGGGTTCAGGCCTCCTACCTAGCTGGTTTGCTGTCAGTCTTTGGCATTCCTTAGTTTCTTCTTTCTTCACTGAACAGTCCCCAGTGTGTACCTGTGACTGGAGCTGTGAAGAGTGAACTTTTGCCATTCACAGTCATCTGGTCTAAGATATTTGGCTACAGTGGCCTAAATAGACTGAGACAGCAGGTCATTGCACTTGAAGAAACACATTGATGGGATAGGTGAGCAGCTGTATGGTGTTTGAAGTTATCTTTTATTTGTAGTGTATTCAGGTTTGCACATACCACAGCTTGCCACCTTCATGGAGTCTGACCTCTCCTTCCACCTTTACGTGGTTCTGGGAATTAGACTCTGGCTGTCAGGCTCCTGCAGCGAGCACTTCAACTGCTGGGCCATCTTGCCAGCCCATGAATTATCTTATATGAATCAAAGTCAGTTTTTTCTTTTGTTGGGGGTGGGGGAAGAAAGCAAACAAACCATGAAAAGCATGGTTTAAAGGAAGCTGATTTTAAGTGGAGGGCCAAAACGGCGATTTAATGCAAGCCTGCACATGAATCGATGCACCCACGCATGGAGGCAGCTGGTCCTTAGGACACTCTCTTCCGATCTCCTCACTGCTGTATCCCAGATCTTGGCTTTGATGAGCCAGGTTAATCTATGAGGTCACTCTGAGGAGACTCAAGTGGTCGAGGACTTAGGATGTGATGAAGATGTATTTAAATGTTCCAATTATTTGTTTGTTTAGGATGTACAGTATGTAGACAAGAAGACAAGATCAAATGAGTTCATGGTGGCTTGGTCATAGGCCCCATTTCTAAATAAACAGTTTCTTCCCATCTTTAAGGATAACACTGACATGCCTTTCTTCTGTATTTGCTTAGGGTTTTGGTCCTTTTTATTTTTGTTGTGTTGTGTAGGATCAACCTCAAGGTTTAAAGCATGTTAGACCAATGTTCTATTTTCATTGTGCCCAGGCTAGAAACAAGTCAATAACATAAAAATACCACAAATCCTATGGTTTTCCTCACAAGGGGCCTTTGTGGGCTAATGTGGGATTCCCCTCTGTATGCTGTGAATACCATTGGTTAATAAAGAAACTATCTTAGACCTGTGATAGGGTAGAGTAGAACTAAGTGGGGAAAACTAAACTGAATGCTGGGAGAAAGGAGGCAGAGTCATGGAGAAGCCATAAAACTGCTGCCAGAGACAGACGTGCTAAAACTTTGCTGGTAAGCCACTGCTGCATGGTAATACACAGTTTAATGGAGATAGGTTAAATTAATATGTAAGAGTTAGCCAATAAGAAGCTAGAGCTAATGGGTCAAGCAGTGATTTAATTAATACAGTTTCTGTGTGGTTATTTTGGGAGTTTGGGCAGCCAGGAAACAAACAAGCGGCCCCCCACACTACAAATTGGAGCTCCAATGTTGTTGACTAAATCCACGTAAAACCTGATAAAGCTTAAAAAGAAATCCTAGACACAAAAGAACAGAGTTAAGCATGGTTTGGTAGTTGATGTAGATGGGCCTTCTGTCTATGTGTTATTTTCATTGGTTAATACAGAGACTGCCTTGGCCCTCTGATAGGACAGAAAATTAGGTAGGCGGAGTAAATAGACAGAATGCTGGGAAGAAGGCAATGAGGCAGACGCCATGGAGCCAGCCACCAGGTCAGACATGCTGAATCTTTCCCGGTAAGCCACCACCTCGTGGTGCTACACAGATTATTAGAAATGGGTTAATCAAGATGTGAGAGTTAGCCAGTAACTAACTCTCTAGAGGTAATTGGCCAGGCAGTGTTTAAATGAATACAATTTGTGTGTTGTTATTTCTGGGGCTAAGCTAGCCGTGCAGGAGCTGGGCGGGACAAAAGCAGGCCTGCCCACAGCCCCTCACTACAGGTAGTGGCATCTTCTTGGGTGGGCTCTGTTTGCTAGAAGCAAGCAGAGGCATGGCTCCTTTAAGAGAAGTTTTCCTGATTCAGTGGTGGCAGGAAAAAAAGCCATGCTGTTTTGAAACTGCGGCTTCCTGGGCTGTGCTGCCAGGGCAAACTATGATGAGGTCTGGCTATGGAGCATTTAAGTAGGTTCTGTGAGCAATGTCCTATAACTTGCTTAATGGCAACATAGACCCACTGTGTGACTAATAATGAGTCAGTGTACGTGGCTCTCGGAGGCAGCGAACAGCTCCACTATGCTGGACTAGGTGAAGCAAGCAGGCAGGGCCTTGTTTGCCCTAGCAAGGCTACTGCTTAGGTTTTTAAAAAGCACTTAGCCCTGGTCAGAAAAAATTACAGATACACAATAAGGGCAGATTCAGACATTAAAGACCTCTAAATGAGACACCGTGTGTTTAAAAAATGTACATAGGCTTGGGAGAGAGAAGAAAAAGAGTATAGAGAGTTATAAAAGGAGGTAAATGGTTTATAAAAAACAAAACAGAATCTTTAAAGAGACAGAGTAAACTTGTAAAAAAGTAATATAAATATAGAAAAATAAGCCACATAAAGATGGAGTATATACAGAGAGTCTAGATTATGTATATTATTGTGTTTTCTTTGAATTTTTTGACTGCAGAGAGACATTTGATTCTGGGGACTGCTGAGCTAAGCCAACATAAATATATATTTTAAAGGTATCTTGAATTTAAAATACAGGTCTAGGGATATGTTGCTTTGGAAAAGAGATTTTTCTTTTGTTTCCACAGAGGATGAGAACCTGTGGAATCCTTCTAGACTAATGTGATTTGATGGACCAAGACCCTCTGAAAGGTTGCCTTGAACACCCCTCAAAAAATACTTTGCCCAATAAATAGCAGGAAGAAGTTTGGAGAGAACTATACCCATCTTATCAAATATTGTTTATAAATGTTTGTTTACATTTAAAGGGGGATATACTATAGAGATTTGCATTAGTACGGTTCTTGGTTTAGTGTTACAAATTTAAGGCCAATTTTGTTATATGTATATTTTTGCTCTTGATTAAGGTATTGTGTTTGTCTAGCTCATTTAAAAATGTAATGTATAATTAAGAAATATAGGTTAATAGACAATCATCTATAATAGTCAAGCTTGTAGTCATGTTAGATTTTCTAGATGTATTTCAGATGGATATGGGTTCTTTAAATCTTTCGAAGACTACAAAATATGGCATTTAAAATGTTTTAAGAACTTTTCATGACAATGAGACACATCTGCTCCTGGCAGCACCAATCTACTTCAAGAGAAAGATGGGCAGTGAAGAGTCTCCTTATGGAGTTTGCTAGCCATTTGGGCAGGAGAGTGCTCTTGCCTGGACTGCTTTATGAACTGGACATGCAGGACTCACAAAGAAATGACTGCTGAACTTGCCTAAAGGTGAGACTGTCCTTTGGGGTTCCTGCTTCATGAAAGAGTCTGTTAGACATATTCAGAACACAGAAGAAGGTGACTGACAAACTGCCAATATAGGCAGAACTGTCTTTGAAATTTCCTGCTTTGTGGAAAAGTCTGCTGGATACTATATGCCTGTAGGCTAAAGATGGATGCCTCAGTGGTACAGAAGAATTTTGGGTGACTATCCAGGCAGCAAGATGTCTCTGTCAATTCTAGAGATTTGGAAGTTGCTTACAATGTACTTCTTGTTTACTTAGGTAATATTATATCCTTATGGAGTCTTTGATGGAGTTGAATAATTTATAGTTATAGTTTTCCTTAGTTATGATAAGAGATAAAGTAGATACCAATATTGTAACTGTAATTCTTGCTTGATACCTGTTTTATTATATGTAATTTTACTATGTTAAAGTTAAAACCTTCCTTCTCATTTAAACTGAAAAGGGGAGGTGATGTGGGATTCGCCCCTGTATGCTGGGAATACCATTAGTTAATAAAGAAACTGTCTTAGGACTGTGATAGGGTAGAGTATAGCTAGGCAGGGAAAACTAAACTGAATGCTGGGAGAAAGGAGGCAGAGTCAAGGAGAAGCTATGGAGCTGCCAGAGACAGACATACTGAAATTTTGTCAGTAAGCCACTGCCATGTGGCGATACACAGATGAATGGAGATGGGTTAAATTAATATGTAAGAGTTAGCCAATAAGAAGCTAGAGCTAATGGGTCAAGCAGTGATTTAATTAATACAGTTTCTGTATGGTTATTTTGGGAGTCTGGGCAGCCAGGAAACAAACAAGTAGCCCCTCATACTATAGTGGGCACATTAAGGGCGTGGAACTCTCTAATAAGTTGAATGTATCTTTGTTCCCCATCCGCCTGCTTACAGGCATCTCACATTGTGGTGAGAGCCAGGAGTCTGAAGTCAAGACTTTTTCTCTGTATACCCTGCTTACTCTCAGATATTGTTTGCAAGTGTGTGCATGTGGATATGTGAGTATCTGTGTATGTGCAGAGGGTGATGTCAGGTGTCCTGCTCTGCCACTCTCCACCCTATTCCTCTGAGACAGGCTCTCTCACGCACCTGGAGCGGGGCTAGCAGCCAGCAAACCCCAGTGATTCTTCTGCTTCTGCTGCATACAGCATGAGGCGTCCAGGTGTATATGGCCATTCCCTGTCTTTTTATGTGGGTTCTTGGAAGACTCAGGTCCTCATGGTTGAGCAACAAGTTCTCTTTCCTGTTGTTTCTGAGGCGCCTTCCCAGTTCCTGGAATACTTGTTTTGCTGACCATAAATTCTTAAATTTAAATGGTGCTGTGGTATGAGTATGTGTGTTCCATTTCTAAAGAACAAGATATCAGATTATCATTTTGTGTATTTGTTATGTGAATTTCATTGCTCATTTTCTTGTTATTACTTCTCTAGAAACTGGACACTTGTAAAACAGCTGAATTTCGCATTACTTTATTGTATTACAAACAGGAGTGATTACAGAGGGGAGAGGAAACGGGTGCTCTGCATTTGCTGGGCTCAGTGGTGGCATGGCTGTCGGGCACGGCAGCTTTTGCTGTGCGCAGTGCACAGTCAGAATCCTGATGTTAAGGCAGAGAGACACTACAAAAGTGAATGTAACAATAGCAAGGACGTATCCTTTGCTTCTAAAACAAATCTCATAGTGCAGTGTGTCTATCTAAACATCTTTCACTTTTACAAGTCTTTGAGTTTTTGTGCCCAGCACAGAGTGGCTGCACTCAGTTTCCTTACGTTTGGAGTTGAGTGCTTCCCTTTCTCACTGCCTGTTAAACAGGAAATGGGACTTTAGCATACATGATTAAAATCAGAAATAATTCATTCTCAATCCCAAACTATGCCTTAGACAGGGAAGAAATCCTCTGGGGCTAGTCATGTTTATTCTATCCTAACAGAACAATTAGTATGTGAAATGCAGAATGAGCAGCTTTTCTAGCTTTCTTACAGAAGTGGAGACCGAACCAGATTTCTCAGTTTCACGAGTCTGCTTTGAAAGTGTTTCACTGGAGCCCTTTCCCTTCCTTTTTTTGGAGAGGAAGCGAACAGAAAAGGTGCAAAGCTCATATGTGCCTGTTCTGCTTAGGCTTGGTGTATTTGTTAAGCGTGAACTCGGTGTGTCTCTGCAGTTCGTCGATGTGTGCGTTGAGCAGCTTCTCAAGCTCCTTGGCCCGTCTCTCCTCTTCCATCAGGAAGTGCTGTGCAGCCAGGGAGGCTGGGAGGGATATATCTGGTGGAGACTGAAGAGAGGGGAGAAGAGTGAGGTGTGACCAATCCAGAACCTTTGGTCGTAGGCACGTACCTTTCTGACAGTCAACCCAGCAGCTTTGACAAAGCACTGAATTTTGGACAGAATCCTCCTCCCCTTGCAATGTAGTCCCTGGTAATATAACCCTCAGGGATATAAGCCATCTCAACACCACACCATGAAAGAGCTCTTGGAATGACAACTGCAGTGACCAGCTGCGAATCCAGGGTGGACATAAGTACCAGGGAGCCCAGGCAGAACACATTTCGCTGACTCGCAAGGCAAGTAATCCAGAACAAAGGCAAGTCCCAGATCTGGAGTGAAGATGTAGCAGATTGGATAAAGATGGACATCTTGCTGGAGGTGGCTGTGGTGTGTGTGCATGTGTGCGTGTGTGTGCGTGCGTGTGTGCATGTGTGTGTATGTATGTGTGCATGCGTGTGTGCGTGTATGTGCATGTGTGTGCGTGCATGTGTGTGTGCATGTGTAGGACAGGACTAGTGTTGCAATCCTCCCTCACTAGTCAGGCTTAGTTGAAGAAGAAATCCGAGTGGTACTCAGTGTCCCTTACTGGGAGGTATGGGGTACTTCACAGCTTTCTTGTGATGTGGCTAGTGTATATTTGCACAAGGAAAAAATGAAATAAAGGATATTAGTTTTATTTAAACATTATAAAATTATTTTAAAAATTACACATTAATTTTCCAGTTCTTTTATCTACCCGTCTTCCTCTCACTATTCTTTGAGACAGTGTTTCAGGTAGCCCAGGCTTGGCAGGAGCTCTAGGTGGTTGAGGATGCCTTGAGTCTCTACCTCCAGAGTGTAGGACTCCTGGCCTGCACCCGTCAGTGCACCTGGATGCCTTTTTTCTTCTTCACTTCTGACTTGTTAAGAACAATGAAGCTTTACGGAAGTGAACCTGGTTATACGTTTATTAGTTCATCAATCTCTAAAAACTCAAGATCACAGCAGGCGACACCAGAGGCCTGCAGACACATCCAAGTGTTAAATCCCACCTGTACTGTCTGCACTGGGCGTAGCCTCTCCACCAGAGTCTAAGGGAACAGTCTTGAACATGCCGTATGAGCTGTTGACGGGTCAAACACACTCTTTCTAAACACCCAGGGCAAAGAGGGGCAGAAGCAGCTGTCTGTTGCAGGGATGGACACTGTTGACGCCAGGTTTGCCCCAGCCTGTGCTAATAACGTGCAGTGAATTGCAATGGACTTTGTCCATCTGGACACCTAATAGACGGTGCCTGCATACTAACACAAGCGTCAAGTCAGTGACGCTGGGGAATCCAAGGCTTGAAATGATGCCCACACCTCAGAGGGTGAAACAAAGCCCCACACAGACTCGGGCGTGGCATGCTTGTAGACTGGGTGGGGAAGGCAGGGATATCCATGTAGACCACAGCTAATAAGCACTGAAGTTCTGTGCTCTTGGACAGACAACCTGATGTCATTACTGGACATCACAGAAGGCTGGCAGGCCTAGAACAAAGGAGAGTCCTTCCGTGGCTTCAGGATAGGTCAGAAAAATCTCCAGCAGAGAGAATGCCATGTGCATTTCATAAGCCTCAGGGGAAAGTCATGTTGTAGGTATTTAAGCCAGGGTGAGGCTGTTTCCGGCAGTAGAAGCCTGAACACCCCGTAGGCCACTCCCCATTGGGAGCCCAGGATGACACAGAGCACCTATCGGATGGACGATGTCACCTGCCCCATTTTCTGTCCTCGGCAGCCCCAGAGGGTGGAGGTATGGATCCAATAGCAGAATGGCCCACTCATTGAGAGCTACTTAGCTTGCTTCTGTTGACTCTTGGGCCAGCTGAGCCCAGGAGGTGCCATCCTTCACTGACAGCAAGTAGCGTCTTGGTTGCTGCTAGACCATACTGGGTCCCTCCCACCCTGCAGAGGACAGCATTTTCTCCTCCCTGGAGGTGGTCTGTGTTCCTGGGCTGACCCTTTCTGCCACAGAGCCTTAGCATGTAAGTTAGCATCACAACGATGCTCTCTGCGATGACTCAGCACATGGCCATGTTCAGTTTATACATGTTACTGTATGTTAAGACCTATCAGGGTCTAGTGATTTATGTCTGTAATCCCAGCACATGAAAACCTGAGGCAGGAGAAGTACTGCAAGTTCAAAGCCAGCCTGGGCTCCATGGTGAACTCTAAGTCAGCCGGAGCCAGAGTGAGATCCTAACAAGTGAAAACAAACAAAAAGTGAAAAGTATTGCCAGGATTCCTGGTGGGGCATTGGGTTATCTTTCCCTTCTAGAGACAGCTGTGGTCAAATGGCCTGCAGAGCTTCCTACAGTCCTGTTTCCAGAGGTGCCACTACACACCTTTAACCTCAGCACTCTGGAGACAGGCACGTGGATCTCGGAGACCACCCTGGTCTACATAGTGAGTTCCTGGTCAGCCAGGGCTACACAGAGAAATCCTATCTCAAAACAGCAAAATAAACACAAGCAAAAGAAGTGACATTTTAAGCTATTCTATCCTTTTTCTATATTGGTCTCAGGATTGAATAATCTTCACTTAAAGGAAAAATCAGTTTCCAGAAACTCACCAGAGGGAAGACTTCATCGTCACTAAGCAAGGGACTTGTCATTTCTTTGGTCTGAAATGGCAAAGACGGTAAGGGTGGTGCTGGACTTCTGCTCAGCTCACAGTCTTGGCTAATTCTAGAAGAGAAGAGATGGATGTCAACAGTCTTCATAAGGATCCTAGGTTTTTTTTCCCTATTGCTGTGGTAAAACACCATGACCAAGGCAACCACAAAAGAAAATGTTATGTCTTATGGTTTCAAAGGGTTGGAGTCCATGATGACAAGGTGAAAGCCAGCTGAGCGCTCACATCTGTCAACAAACACCAACCCAGAGCTAACTGGTTATGGGGTGAGTCTTTGGAACCCTCAAAGCTCTCCCCCCAGTGACACACCTCCTCCGCAAGGCTGCACCTCTGAGCCTCCCCAAATAGTCCCACCTGCTGGGGACCAAGGATCCCAACATACGAGGCTACTCTCATCCAAACTGACCACCAAAGGCCATGTTTGTTGTAGCTGAAGGTTCTGATTTTCTTGATGTCCAACTAGAAAGAACCAAATGAATGAATGCATTCATCTAGGTGTTTCTTTGACAGTATTTTTTTTCCTAAATAATCTCAACTTCACTTTAAAACCTTGGAATGCAGAATACCCGATGACTGATAGGACAGCCTACTGTCTGCAGCCTCGGCCTTCCTAACTCTGTGTTGTGCTGTTGTATTTCCAGGTCATTCTAACACCTGGACAATTTGACAGAAATATCAAAACTCTGAACACATATGCCATGGTGTGGGGGGTCTAAGGAGAGAAGCTAAAGTCCTCCACTGCATGTCACAGGCTTTGGGGATGTGGTACCACATCTCTATACTAACCAGTTCCTTCGGATTCTCTAACATACAGCCTGTTTCCCTCTAGTGCCTTCCCAGGCGTCTTGCTCACGTAATGTCTTTGTTCTCTCTGACTCTCTATCACACTTAGGAGAAAGAGTTCTTAGGATAGGTGGAGGACCAATGCATGTAAAGCACATGGAACATGATGCCTGCTGCATCCTAGACACCCAATAAGCATCAGATGTCATCTTAATGCCCATTTGATCTTCAAAAAAGTACATCAAAGTGAATGTCCCCACAGATGAAGAAACTCATTCATTTTACCCATTCATTTTCTCTTCCTTCTTTCTTTCTGGTACTGGAGAACTGAGCCCAGATTCTTGCAAAGAATGCTAGGCACGTGCCTATACTGAGCTACACCCTAGCTTTGTTATTTTTTTTTATCTGAGACAGGATTCCCTTAAACATCAAGTCCTCCTGTCTCAGTGTCTCCACCTTCCTCTCTTCCCATCCCCACTAAGTGGGGTTAAACTCCTCTGATCCACCCGTCCATCTTCAATCATTTATTACAATTGTATGAGAAACTTTTTTCTTTTTAACTTTTGAGATTACAATATAACTACATCATTTCCTCCTTCCCCTTCCTCCCCCCAAACCCTCCTGCATATATTCCTTACCTGACGCTCTTTCAAACTCATGGCCTCTTTTCTCAATTGTTCCATGCATGGATATATGCTTATATATTCCTAATTACAAGCAGCTCAGGCTGTCTACCATTACTTTAGACTCAGAAGGAGGGAGGCAATCAATAGCCCTACACAACCGTGACACCCACGACTCACATCAGCAAGCAGAGTGGCGCTAGAACCCTAAAAGTACAGTAGTGCCTTGGTGACAGCTGACAACTCTCTAATTGGACATTGGATACACTCAAGAAGAGAATAATCATGCCTGGTCCCAGAACCAACGGCCCAAGGGTAGTAAAGTTATGGATCTTGGAGAAGAACCCACAATTTTACTAAAAACCAGCATAGTTTCAACTACATTTGAAACATTAGTTATTATATCCATAGATAAGCATAGTCCTCACCCCTCAGGGAGGAAACTTCTCTTTGCAACAGATAATAACTCATCAAAATGTAGGTAGAGTAATGGAGCCTAGCCCCAGTGGCTACACCCACAATATGGCTCCTCAACTCAGGGCTCAGAGAACACTGCAGAAGACGGAGCAGAAAGAGTGTTAGAGCCAGGGGACAGCGTTTGCTGTGAGGCTGTCCCTCCTAGAAGCTGCACCCATAAAGTCTCACCATCACGACTGCCCAGATGTGAGCTGACCAGGGACAGTGCCAATGGACCTGGCCAAGTGGATGGAGAAAAGCCTACGGTGCCTCAGCTCTATACAAAAACCGTAGGCAACTAAGGAACGCGGGGAGGGAGCAATGGTCTTCCCCAGGAAAAACTGCTGGTTGTCTAGCACCAACTGGTCAACCCTGAGAACAATCGTTTACTTTACAAATGAGAATAAATTGCTAGGAACCAGTAACTTTGAACTCAGGTTCTCCTGAGGTCGAATCCCATAGTAAGAATGCAAAGCACACCATGGAATTTATTGTCTGTGCTAAAATATCGGTGGAAGATATAAGTAAAAACAAAAAACAAAACAAAACAAAAAAAAACACACACCAAGCATATAAGCGAATAGGGGAACAAAACAACAAACCTTAATACTGGGCCAAAGACTACCCCACCTGGCCTGTTTGGCTAAGTGAATGTCTTCCATGAAAGTGGGGCTTCAGTTTAATCAAATCACCAAAGGCCATGAAACATAAAAAATTCTTTAACTGAAAGCTGTTTATCCTTACTAATAACCCAGATTTCCCACAGGTGTTAACCATTTTCAAAGCGATGTTTACAATTTGAAAACCCACACTGTATTTTTCTCTTCTCATCCAAAGCCCAGTCCATGCAGACTTGCTTCTTATGCAGGATTCTTCAAGTCTGTGCATACAAATGGCACGAGGCATCGCCCTAGGTGCCTGCTGATCAACACAGAGAAACAAATGCTTCCTGGTTTTACTTATCTTGAGATAAATCTTTCCCCCCATTATCCCACACCATAATTACCATGGAAACAGAGGAGCAAATTAAATGGAAATAACATGGTTTATGATGTGAACAATAGATGAAACATCTCCCAGTTCAGACTGAGCAGTAACAATGGTATAATGAACCCGTGTATCATCTCTGGCCTGAACCTAGTGTCTACACTTCAGGGTGGAAAAACAAGACAATAATGGAGGTGATCTGAGAAGTGTGTGTGTGTGTGTGTGTGTGTGTGTGTGTGTGTGTGCAAAATCTTGCCTGTGAGAGATTTTGTATACAAAGTATTATTTGTTCTAAATTATCTAAATAATTATCCCAATTACCCATTTTGCTGTGAATGCACAGAGATAGCTTTATGGCACTAATTACTAAGATTTATCTAGGAATATTTTTTATATTATAAGATCAATAAAATATTGAGATTGAAGGAGAAAACTATATTATGAAGTAAAGTGCTTTGGCTTAAATCATCTTTATAGCTGAAAGCCCTTCTAGGACATAGCCATTCAAATACTTCATAAAACCACCTTGCACAAAATGCTGCACGTATCAATTTAAAGAGGACTTAAAAATTATTGCAGAAGGCTTTTGATATCCACTCTCAAGTCACACTGTTCAATTAGCTTTCCCATAGGCCCTGCGCGAAGGTCGCTGAGTGTGGCAGGCTCATCTGCTTGCACGGGAGGTAGAACTCCTCATGGAGTGTGCAGTCCTGTCTGAGGTATGCAGGCCTCCCATGCGGCTTGGCAATGGGATGATGTCCTAGCCAGGGCCGAGGACCCACCACCTGTCACTGACCTCCCAGCCTCACCTTCTCACACCCCACAGAAACTCCCCCTGCAGTGGCCTGCACTCTCTCCAGGCCTGGAGTCTGTAGTCTGCTTCATCCCGCTCCTTACTGGTTAATACCACAGGACAAAATTCTCATACATATTTTTGGCTTTTAGACTCTTCCCTTGGCAAGTGACCTTGTAAGCAGCAATGACAAACCTGCTAATTCTGTGGCCTTTTCCTATTAGATACTTACTGTATTAGCTAAACATGGAGCCATCTTAATGATGAATGCTTCCGATTACTAATGTCTTCTTGGCTCATAATATAAAAATTTAAACCAAGAATATTACTTTTTAAAAGACATATCAATTTTCATGTGCATGTGTGCCTGCGTGGGCTTGTGTGCACCACGTGCATGCAGGAGCTGGTGGAGGTCGGAAGGAGTCAGACCCCTGAGACTGGAACTGCGGGAGGTTGTGTGCCATCTGATGTGGGTGGGAACCGGACCCAGGTCCTCTGCAAGGGCACTAAGCCCTCTGAACCGCTGAACCATCTCTCCAGCCCCTGTGACTTCACTTTGAAATGTGTATTCTCATATGAAGACAAGCCCCATTTATGACAAAATTGTTTTGTCATAAAAATTAGTTCTGTATTAACAGTTCTGGGTCCCAGTACTCTAAATCAGCTTGTAAAGTCTCCTGCAACTTCAAGACATTATTTTTTTAAAGAATAATATTCAGACCATCTTAACAAAATTCCATTAAATCTCATAACAATTTTAAAGTGAGGGATAGATTTTTATTCTAGAAGTAAATGCTTTGGATTGCCTGAAAATGCTCCCGATTTCAAGTGAGCTAACATGGAGATATCTTCCAATAGGAGTAAAAGACAAAAGTTAAGAATAAATAACTGTTTATATTACAGACTGTGCCAGTCTTCCTCCATTATAAGGGAGAACCTCCTTAGACAATGACCTTGAGATTTATGAAGCAATTTTATTCTTCCTTCTCCAAACAGCTAACATCTTGCTATGTGAAGATGACTTGGTCATGGTGTGGTTAACTTATGTCTGACAAACATATGAATATGCCTTACATGCACAGACCCCCACACACATAGTCTCTCTCTCTCACACACACATACATATATACATACACACATAAACTATATATACATACACAAATTCATACATACATATGCATATACATGCACACATACACAGATACATATACACTACACATAGATATAACCACACTCATTCATATACACATATACATATACCACACACACTCACACAGACACATACACCACATATTTATACACGCATACAAATGTGCGCACGCACACCCATGTACATGAACACATATGTGCACACAGATCTTGCTACTTGACTCACTCCCTGGGCTGGGCTGTGAGGGAAGGGCTTTCTCTTCCGCTGCTGGCATCAGCGGGGAGCTGCCTGCTTTCCAGTTCTCTGCTGCTGAGCTCACAGTGTCCCTGCATCTCAACAACTCTTCCCCATCGTGGGTTTTACATGGCAACAATTTATTCAGACCGTTTGAAATGCTGTTTCTTTTCAAAAACCAGGTCACTGAAGAACACTGAAATCAGACGAGGCATTAAAACAAATTTACTGAAACTTCCAGCAAATGGAAGTGGCAGGGCCGGCTCTGCAGCAGGAGCCGTGGTCCAGGCTGCTTGTTAAGATAATTCCCGCAGCGCCTTTTACTCCTTCCTGCCTCTGTCTCCCACGGTCTTGTTTTGTGGGGCAATTTTAATACATCTGCACTGCCTGTCAAAGAAAGATTAAGGGCCAAGAAAAGTATTTTTAAACTAACAAACCGCAGAGCAATGGCAGAACATCTCACCGGATGCTACCAGACTTGCTCGAGTGGTGAGGATGGGCCTGGGAGCCCAGGGCCCTTGGTGACTCGCTGAGGTCAGCCAGAAGTGCCACAACCGTTCCCAGCATCTTTAGGGCTGGACTTTGCTGGGTTCTTATTCTAGATTAGAAATGACCTCTTAGAACAGGTTTTCAGTGCTACTGGGCGATCGGCATGTGCTTAGCCATCAGAAGACAAGCTTTTGACTGTGGCCAGAGGCCTCTTCATTTTTCCCACAGTGCTTACACTGAAGCCCCATCATGGTGCCACACCATGGCACCCCTCCCATGGCACCCCTCCCATGGCACCCCACCACAGCACCCCACCACAGCACCCACCACAGCACCCCCACCACAGTACCCCACTATGACACCCACCACAGCACCCCCACCATGGCACCCCAACCACAGCACCCACCACAGTACCCCCACCACGGCACCCACCACAGCACCCCCACCACAGCATCCACCACAGCACCCCCACCATGGCACCCCCACCACAGCACCACAGCATCCCCACCACAGCACCCCCACCACGGCACCCCCACCATGGCACCCCATCATGGCATCTCCACTGTGACACTCACACCGTGACACTCCAACTATGACGTCACAGGTACCCCACCATGGCTCCCCCTGTATTACTCCCATAGTAGCACCACTAGAGTGCCATCCTCACCAAAGTCCCCCCAACACAGTGCCCCCTGAGATACCTCCACCACCAGACTCTTTCTCCGCTACCTAGAAAGGGGTTAATTAGGGCTTTGGAGAGACTGATACTTCAAGCTTTGGAATTATTAGAATCCACCTTTCTAGGGGCTGGAGAGATGATTTCAATCCATAGAAACTGCTCTTGCAGAGGACAAGGGTTTGGTTCCCAGCACCCAGATGGCAGTTCCCAGTCATCTGGAACCCCAGTTGCAGGGGATCCAGCAATGTCTTCTGGCCTTTGTGGACACCAGGCATGTTCACGGGGCAGAATAGACATAAATATAAGATAAATCTAAAACCACAAAAGAATCCATCCTTCTAGTACCTATAGAACTGAGGTAGGGAAGGGAGAGCATTGCTCTAGAACTGGAGAGTGTTGAATAAACTTTCCCCCACTTTGGGTCTGTTCCATAGATTTTACTTAGCTACCAAGATGAGCCTGCCATGACCCTCTCCAAACCTCAGGTTCAGTGATTAATCTAGTCACTAAAATACACGTTTTAGACACCATGAATTTATAAAAGTATTCATATTATAAATGCAATTTACTACTAATAATATTAGTGATTAGTGGCCAACATTCATGCCACTACCCATAGTACACAGATTCCTTCATACAATCCCCACTAGCGCTACACACAAGAAACCATGAAAACATTATTAAGCATCCACACCAAGGACCTCGGGCTTCCGAGGACAGACAGGGTGAGTCCACAGTGCTCTGGACTTTCATAAGCACCACGAATGGCTCATGTCAGAGAAGTGTGGTGAAGGCAGCCATAGCCTTCCTCCGAAACCCACAGTGCAATTGACGTCTTCACGGCTCTGAGGAGTTCAATGGAAAAAGAGTGGCTTTGCTGAGCAGCTCATGAGATTGGGGGACAGTGATCCGCCTCCAGAGACACTCCTGACTCCATAAATCGTTGGTGAAAATTGAGTTAATTAGCAGGTTTCATGGTTAGCATTGACTTAGGATGTGAGCTAAGACATTTTAGAGATCGCGAGAATAAAATGGACAGTGGGCATTGATCTTCCATGCCCTGGACTCTCTTACTGTCCATGGGGCCCTTGTTAGCATGTGACCAGCAGTCGGTTACCGTGGCAATATCTGTATCATGGGAGGACAGACAGAAGTGTCAGTGTCACATGTTTTGCTTTCCCATACCTAATGGGGGAATTTCTAGTTTTCTCTGTTCTCACAGTGTTAAAAGGATCACTTGCTTATCTGTCTTCCTGCACAACTGTCCTGAGATGACGCAAACAGAAGACCCTGGGAGCTCTCCGCCCAGCTACTGCCGTGTGTGCCCAGACTCCTGTGTTATCACTACCAGATAGAACGTAAACAGTCGAGGAAGCTGTCACTTTATGCTACTTACGAATTTCCCATAAGAATTTCTGATGCCTGTTTATGGCTAAGCTAGCACACCTGTCTCCAGCGGTCTCCGTCTTCAGCTGGCTCTGGTAGGCGTATGCTTCTGCTTCATCGTAGCTGCTCTGGGTAGGCCACGCTGCCTTCCCGTTGACATGGAGCTTTGCAAGATCGCTTCGGAGCCTCTCATTCTCGTATTCCAGTTTGTTAATCGATGGGTACCGTGACTGCTCCTTGTCAGTGAAGTCCATCCTCTGGGGAGTAAAACAGACCCCACTGAATGACCTCACACACGACACAGTTTCCACATGTTTGGACTCATGTGTTGGGAAGCTCCTTTTATTTGAGCTAGGTGACGTGGTTTTTGTGAACTCTTTGTTCCTCCTGAATGTTTTAAACGTAAGATGTTAATATAAATAAATTAATTTAAGCATATTTTAGAAGACTCTTGATAGCTGCATTAAAGAGGTGTCAAATCTTGGCAACTGAGTCTGCTTCATCAGTGGTGCTGTGGCTGCCCACACACAGGCCTGCACGGGAATTCCTTTACAACATGAGAATAAACTGAATGAAGGTGTTTGAGGAGCTGAACGGGAAGTTAGTGCGAATCCCGCTCAGTGCTCTCGTGGAGCGCATTCAGGCTGGAGGGAAGGACAGCTCAGAGTCTACACTTGCTGCTTGACCAAAGGACCAGCGTTCAGTTTCAGCTTGGGCATCTCATAGCCACCGGGAACTGCAACTCAGGGGTGCTGATGCTCTTTTCTGGTCTCTAAGGGCACGTGAACACATGAGGCGCGCACGCACGCACACACACACACACACACATCCTTTAAAAAAATCTCATAGGAGGATCTTATTTTATGCCCTCACAATTTGATATTACTACTGTGTTAGGTTTGCTGATGGGAACGAAACAGCAGCCTTCATCACCGAAGTTGAACAGGTTTTCACGTTCCTTGGTGATTTTCACTCTAAGAATCTCAGTAGGTTTTGTATTCTTTGGTGATTTTCCCACTTTGGAGTTTCTGCTTACCAATATCAAAGTATCTTTTAGCACTAGAGGCAGCAATTCAGTGTTTCTCTGGTTGTTGAAAATATGGTTTGTGTGGTTTTTAAACATATATTTATGAGGTTTTAATTGTGGTACATGGCTTGTTTTGTCTAGAAAAGGACTTTGGGTTCTCTTTCCTTAACTCCTGCCTCTTTGTCTCACATTGCAATTTTCTTTTTTTAAGGAGCTATTAAATATTTACTTTCACCTTCTTCTATTTGCTTTATGATTTCATTATTTCACTTTAATTCTTTAGCTTATTTTGAGTTAATTTTGCTATAAAAGTGAGAAAACAGTAAAAATAATAAATTATTCCAATTACATATTGATTAAAATATTCATGCCCACTGCTGGTTGATGTAACAGATTACATGCTGAACTTATGTGGACTGAATTGGACTCTGGACTATTTTGCTGCATTGATCTTGCAGTTGAGACAGAGCCAACACTGCACATTTGGAGCAATGTCATTTCATGGTAGAGATTTGCTACTAGGATATTAATGCACCGCCCCAGACTGTAAAATAAAGCATATTTAAATCACAAAATGAATGGCTTAAACAAGAGGCTTAGAGATTTCTCAGGTTGTTTTTGTTAAGGACTATAGGAAGGGGTGTGTGCGTGTGTGTGTGTGATGTGTGTGTCTTTATGGTCTTCTTGTACAGCTTTGTAGGACAGTCTCTGTTCTCGCATAGCAAGTTGTGGGAAAGTTGTGTGTGATGATCTATTGTCCACTTCTGTCCTTGCATCCTGTGAGTTGACCATCCCAAGCTGCATTGTGGCCTACGGGACCACAGTTCTCTGGGATCAGAAGGGCAATACCTTAGCACCAAATGTTTGCCTTGGCTAGCTCATCACTTTTGAAGCTCCAAACATTTGGAATTCAAGGCCTAGGAAACTAAATGTTTGGAGCTTAGACATTTCTTTTTGAAGTCCCTAAATTTCCAAGCTTTGAGAACCGTTCACATAGAATAACACTCAATTCTCACATTTTTGAATAGCTGCACATTGGTAATCAACCATACCATCATATTAATGTCAGCACTGAAAACCAGCTTATAAACCACTTATGCAATACACAATATAAGCTATTAAAATGTTTACTTGTTTTGTTTTGTGTCTACTTACTGTTTTCTTGCATACTAAGACAATTTAGGAAATGCAGAGGAAGTTCTGATTCTGGATGAGGACTCTGAGGAGGGATTCTAAGCAGCTCACTGAGACTTGGAGAAACTGAGCCCCCTGACCCAGCCAGTCTTTCTCCACCCCAGAGGGAGCTGCCCACAAGGCAGTGACATGCAAAGGGCCTTCTCAGGCATCTTTGGCCAACTTTCTGCTCCTCAACGAAGGAAGTAAGGATTAGGCAACCTTACTTCAGAATTAGGCAACCAGAAATGTTCTCAAATCTGTATTTATTTAGTTAGGACCGATCTCAAGATCAGTGATTTCCTGTCTGGAAAGGAAATGGAGCGGGAGGTGGAGAGGCAGCTCAGTGGTTAAGGGCACGGGCTGCTCTCGTAGAGGATGCGGGTTTGGTTCCCATGCACATGGCCTTTGTGACTATCCCTAATCCTTAACTCCAGTTCCGGGGATCAGACACCCTCTGACTTCTGTGGGCAGTGCATGAATGCATGCATGTGGTGCATAAACATACATGCAGGCTAAAAATAAGAGAGAAAGAAGAAAGAAAATAAAACAGCTGTCATTTTAAAATTACTCAAATGTCAGGAGGCTGAAAATAATGATGTATATATGTATATATTTTGTTTCTTCCTACCCAGGGTGAAATTTCAGCTCTAATCACTTAAATTTATATTTATATATTCTAATCATTGCTTAAATAATTATCTGAATATGAATTTTTTGTACTTGCAGAATTTTAATACATAGAAGTAGAGTTTTCTTCATTTCATAACATTTTAGAAGTAAAAGAATAAAACAAACAAAGAATAAGAAATTGGTGAACTACAATAATAAATTAAATAGGAAGCTAGAGACAGAGGCTGGTCTTCCAGAGGACTCAGGTTCAAGTCCCAGCAACTATATAGTGGCTCACAATCATCTGTAACTCCAGTTCCAGGGGACCTGATATTCTGTTCTGGCCTCCACAGGCTCTACACACATGTGGTCCACAGACACAAATGGAGGCAAGACAATTACACACACAAAGTAAAAATAAAAGTTAAAAAATTAAAAAATAAATGAGGTAATAGTATCCTCAAAGCCATTACTTTTACATGCCAGTAAAATAAGCTTGTGCATCATAGCTGAAAGAAATGGAAGAAAATGTGTAAATGTATTCAGCTATCCAAGCCCAAGCGTAAGAAAGGCATCTGAAACCAGAACTGGACACAGCAGTTCACATCTGTAACCATGGCACACAGGGAGTTATGGACAGACCTCACTTCAGGTAAAGTGACATCATACTGAACCCAGTAATGCACTAGAACTGACAGGGTGTGACTATTATCGGTTGAACTGTGGCTCCTTACAAAGCCTGTTGAAGTCCTAACCCTTATTCCCTCATGATGTGACCTTATTTCAGAACAGGGTCTTCACAGAGACAGTGGCCCTGAAGTGAACACCCAACAAAAGGGAATCTGATCTGAGCATCTGGGGTGAGGCAGACATGGGGACCACAGCATGCTGAGACAAAGCACTGGGGTGCTGGCACTTTTCTGCCTGGGGACACCAAAGACTGTCACAGACCAGCGTGGGGGGAGGGGAGGGAGCATGTGCAGAATCCTCCTGCCAGAGGTTAGCGGGAGCATGCCCTGAGGACATCCCTTTGGGACATCTAGCCTCCTCCCAGAGTCCTGCTGTTCTAAGCACACACACTGTGATATCAAGCTAATTTAGAAATAGGAAGATTTATCCCTGGAACCCACATTTGGACAGAAACTGGGAAATACGTCGACCATAGTGTCTGACACATCAACAAATACAAGGGGAAGACTCGCACAGTCACCTCTGTTGCCAAGGCCCTGACAAGTGCTAGCAGCTTCATTTCAAACAGGGCAGAAAGGATCCTGGACTGAAAACAAATTCACACCCCACAAACCTCCAGAAGTGTGACATTTATAGTCAGAAACTAGATAATTTGCCTGCGAGTCCTGCCGCGACTTAGATTTTCTCGGAGGTCCTAGCAAGCATGGGCACCATGACAATGACAGGGATGGGTGTGAGCTCTGGAGAAGAGGAGAGAGTCCGAGAGCTACACTGCGCTAACAAAGTTCCTCTAGCAGAGCAGCTCTCAGCCCTGAGTCGTGAGCCCTTTGGAGGTCCAATGACCCTTTCACAGGGGCTGATTTAGACCATTGGAAATATCAGACAGTAGCAAAATTACAGCTATGAAGTAGCAATAAAAATAATGGTTGGGGTCACCACAGCATGAGGAGCTGTATTAAAGGTTTGCAGCGCTAAGAAGGTTGAGAGCCACTGCTCTAGAAGGAATAACATAATGTGGACCTCCTTCTGTGTCAGCAATTAGCTGCTTGATGTGGTAAAAGCAAGATATTCTATTTATAACAGTAAGAAGAATTGTAAATAACTTGGGAAATGGTTTAAAGGAAGGAGACAGGAGCTATTCAAAGAAAATTGTATTACTGGGAAATGTATTATGAAGGAATGGGAATCATGCTATATCTTATTATAGCAAAAGCTTTGTCTTCCAAGTTAATACAAAAAGGAATTCAATTCCAGATAGAATCCACAGGAAATTACAAGGAGAAACCTGGTGCGTTAAGCTTAGTCTATATGAAATTTTAACTGTGCTATTAGACATTGCATTTCAAAATACAATTTAAATGAATCGAACAATTGGATGGAAAATATAAAACCTCTGGAAAAGTACAGAAGGGCACAGGTACGTGTGGAACCTCGTCACCAAAGATGGCGGCTCCACGTACGTTCATCAAGACGAGTGGTTTCTGGCAAGTCAAAGTCAAACTTCTTGGGCAAAAATACGAAGTTACAGAAAACAGACTTTGAAAATGCTTCTATAAATTGACAAGAAGAAGAAAACTTACATCAGCGAAAATATTTATAAAGTATATCTAATTCATATTGTTATAAACTGCCAAGAGGTGCAGGAAACGATTTCCCTACCTATGGCAGGGAAATGAAAATCAAAGTGCTGTAGAAAAAATTGCTGTAGTAATAGTACTGGCAGCGCAAAAGTGATGAAAGGGAAAAATGATAATGGTATTAACGTTAAGACACACACATCCTGAGAGCCAGTGGTTCCTCCTCAAGGGAGCTGCTCCAAGATACACGTGTTGGGATTTTGTAATGACCGATTTTTTCCAGGTGAGAATATGAAAATGGTCAAATACACTAGGGCTACAATAGTTATGAAAAACAGTCTAATAAGGTTTGATATATCAGCACCGTGGAATATTAACCACCTACTGTAAAGGACAGAATATGCCTGAGCTCGTTGGTGTGGGAAGGCAAATCACAGAAGTGTGACATGCAGAGTTATGTGAACCTAATTTTTCAAAAATAATTCTATGCATCTCTGTGTGCCTCTGTGTGTACAGGGTCCTGAGGGGAGCAGAAGATGACATCAGATACCCCGGAACTGGACTTGGCAGGTAGCTGTGAGCTGCCCTGTGGGGTGGGGAACTGAATCAGATGCTGTCTGTACAAGAGCAGCAAATGCTCTTAAATTGTGAGCCATCCCTCTATGCCTGTGACACTTTATTTTTTAATAATAAAGATTCCCCAAATAAGCGCATATGTGTGTTTGTAGAGGTGTCTAAATATACAAAGTGATAAATACAAATGAGTAGTCACTGTATGCTGTCCGGCACATGGGACACGATGTGGAAGAGGGGCTGGGAAGTCTAAAAGTAAGAAAACATGCCCTGAAGCCACCTGCATGCGCACTGTGGTTCACTCACAGACAATTACCGGCAGGTTCAGTGAGGGCCGTTTTCCTAGGACTTGCTGACTTGTCCAGCTGTCCACACACAGCTCGCGGTCAGCTCTGGGCAGCACTCGAGTTTCACGTCTACTTTGTAGGAGACTCTGTCTCCCCACCTTCTCTGTGGGAACGGTCAGGAAAAAGCGACAGGGGCCACCACTTGTTTGCCATCACGCAGCCCTCTGCTGCCCCAGTGGGGCTGGGGGAAGGGTGTGGCAATTAGCGGCTGCTTTATATATCTTTGTGCATTTCAGCTCTTAAAAAATCAAACAATATGAATGAGCAAAGCCGAACGCCTACAGGAGCAGAGTGAAGCCCCTCAGCAGGGCTCTGGTGACCTGGGATGGGCACAGACAAACACTTGTGTGTCCCATGCTGGGGAATGAAAAGGCAGAGATGACAGGCAGGGTTTTAATGAGGCGGAGAGGGAGACCAGCAAGCTTCCCTTTTCATCCAGCTGTGCTCAGTCACAGGGTCCACAGCCAGGCTCAAGGAAGGAGGGAGAATGCTTCCAGATGCTTCTACTGTCTTGATGCTGGAATACGGACTCATGTGAGAACAGGTGCACAGCAAGATAGAAGTAAACACAACATTGGCTTTAGAAGGGGCCTGGCGAGGCCCCAGCCCATTGGCTCACGTTATGGCTAAAGGGACAGGCCAACTTAAGCAGCTATGATGTCCAAATTTTCCTAGCTTACCTTTTCTGTTCCTTGAACAGTTAAAAAAAATAGTAACAACAGTAGGATTTTTCTCTGAGTGAGTAAAAGAAAAGATAGCAAGGCATGCTAATATTTCAATATTTCGACCAATGAAAGCTCTTCTACAAAAACCAGCCATGGACTGCTACATCAGACACAGGAGACAAATGAGAGGCTTGGAGCCATTTAACCTGTTTGTGAGACCAAGTAGAGCCAGGAGCTAATTCATGTATTCAGTTAACAAACACTGAACACTTGCTTTCTACCGGAAGTCCGGGGCTGTTGGTCATGCCAACTTCCTGCTGTCATCCAGTGAAAGGGGCAAGCCACAAAACAAGTCAGCGGCAAATACGAACCAAGCAAGGACAGACCTAATTGTTTTGATTCAGGTTTGTGGGGGAAGGCTTCACTGAGCATAAGGTTGGCACTGAAGTCGGGCCGTCTAGGATATGGGGTTTCAGAATTAAAATTCAAGAAACTGCATTGTTTGCATGCCTGGGAAGTGATCAGAACTGAGCCCAAAGCAAGCATCCCAGCCTGGGCGAACCATGGCTGGAAGGGAGCACCCAGCTGGAGTGCGCATGCCCAGTGGCCACACCGAGGGATCAGCCCCAACCAGACAACCCCTTTCTGTTCAGTTTGGAGGAGTGAATTCAGCGCATTACCAAGTACCGAGCAGGGTCTAAGTCTCCCATCATTCCTTTCAGGTGTGTGTTTTCTGTTCGGACAGCTTTGTATCTCATATCCGAGACCTGGAAGATGGGTAGACAAAAGGCACAGGTGAAACTCGCGGAACTAGCCATGTCCATCAGCTCTGGCCCGTGGGTTCAAACCCTTTCTGTGGCAGCGAAAAGGGAGCCTCCTGTCGGGGTCCCCTGTTCCCTCTCCCGGCCCCTCTTCCTGTTTGAGCAGTGCTAGATTTAAAAAACTTAAATAATGATTTATCTTTTTCCTACCAAGCCCGAAATTCCATTTCTCATGTATTGGAACTATAATTAGAAGGGTCAGGATTTTAAAAACCCTTCTTGAAGAGACCGCTGATTACGCGTTTTCTATGTCCGATTAACTTTTACAGCAAGCAGTATATGGATTAATTTGTTCCTTCTGGTGCTTTGGTCGCGTTTCCTCGCCTGCCTAGGACTTCATTTTGTGTCCTTTTCCTTTCCCTGATTTCTACCTGAATGTTGGGATGACGGACGTGTGCCTCCCTTCCTGGCCTGTTCTTTTGTATATCTCAGGCTCATTTCTATATAGAACTCTTGCATTAGAAAGATTTATTTTTGCAAGTTTTAGAATATATGCTCATTGACAAAATCTAGAAAACATGGAAATATGAAAATGGAAATGAGACTCATTCATGGCGGCTGCTCACTCTGGCCATCTGCAGAGTGCCCTGCCCACGGTGCCCTGGCAGTCGCTGTTGTCCTGGGTATGGCACACACTGGTCAGTCTAAGGCCCATGACTGGATGGAGGCCCAATTTTTCCTGTTTTTAACTGCTCTTGTGGAGGCTGTCTTGGTTTGTGTTTTATGTTCTAAAACCCTTGGTTTTAGAGTGAAGGGCCATACAGTCCGTGCTGTCAAAAGCAGGCTATGAATTTGATTATTTGTAAGAGAGCAGGGAAGCTTAAAGGATAAACCGGGAAGGAGGGTGGGCGTGAGCATCCCTTGTAGCATCTTAACAGTCGAGGCTTGTAACCTCTGCGGACACGCTGTGTGCTGAGTGGATGTGTAGTAAATACGTGTCGATTTTATTCTGTAGCCTCCATGTTTAAGACATGAATGGCAATCTATTAAGTGTGTGTGTGTGTGTGTGTGTGTGTGTGTGTGTGTGTGTGTCGGGGGGCTGTTAGTGGAAAGATCCTATTGAAAACAACTGCGGAAGAAGCTGGGTGTCCGTGATGTGGGAGACAGCCGCCGGAGCATGCCAGCATGGGACTGCTTGGTCTTGCATGCGCTGTCTTTAGGTCCCTAGTGTTCCTTTGATGATGCTTTGTGGAGTGGCCCAGGGTTTTATGGGGCACCCAAGGCTCCTAGGAGAGGACGAGGATGAGCAAGGTCAGCCCTGCGCACATACCTGTTGCTTTGTTAACATTTTTTCCTTTATTTCTAACTCTATCTTTAACTGTCTTTCCAGAAGGGCAGCTTTCTTCCTGACAGATGCTATAGTGATCTCCTTCTGGTGGAGTTCCTGGGTGAGGTCCGAGATCTCATTCCTCAGGCGTTCCTGTTCAGAGCATCGGTCTTCCTTCTGATAGAGCTGGCTTCTCATCTGCAGGGAGAGTGACCCAGAGACGTGAACAGCCCGCTCACTCACAGAGGAGCTACTCCCTCAGTCTTCCTGCCTATAGTGTCTGCAGCCCTTGGCGTCCCCATTCTGACCCGTGCCAACCGACAAGCAGTGTGTATAAAGTCCTTTGCTTTCCTGCAGTGTGCCAAGTGTCACCTGTAGTGTGCCAAGTGTCACCTGTAGTGTGCCAAGTGTCACCTGCAGTGTGCCAAGTGTCACTCAGCTTTGGTACAGACTTGACAGGAACTGTTACTAAGTCCTGTGCTTTGTTTGTGAGGCAGGGTCTACCTACACAGCTCAGACTGTCCTTTATCTTTGGATCCTCATGCCTTGGCCCCTGAAGTTCTGGGATTATGGTGTACGAGACCAAGTCTGGCCATCAGCACCTTCTTACGGAGAAAAAGAAAAAAGGACCTAAGAAGGGTAAGCAACTTGCTTAAATCATAGAAAAAGTATGAGGCTAGAACTCGTGGTTCTTGGCTTTAATTAAGGTTTTTAAAAAATGAGACAAGTGTAAATCCCACTGTGCCAGCTGTAACCCCACAGTGCCTCTTGGAGTCACGAAGATATTAAAGCTTAGGGTAAGAATGTCTTACTGGCTCCCCTGACCCTTGGAGTATCTCCACCCTCGACTTTCCAAATCTAGCTGGGCAATTAGCCCAGTTCACCCTCTTGGATGCCCTGCTCTTTGTTCCTGTTGCTCCCACCTTGGCCACACCCCCGTCGCGCCCACCTTGGCCACACCCCCGTCGCTCCCACCTTGGCCACACCCCCAGCACTGCTCACTGCTTCTCACCCTTGGGAGTCACAGATAAATTAAGCAATGATCCCTTTCCTGCATAAGGGGCAGGGGAGAAAGATAAACAGGTATTTATAGCACAGGGTGGTAACTGATGTTTGAGAAATGTCCTGGGGGGTGCATAGCCCAGCTGGGAGGTGCATGGAGGGGGAGGGCAGGGAGCTTGTGTTAGGATGGTCTTCCCAAAGGAGCCATTATCAGGAAAATCCTGAAGGGTAGGTGGAAGCCAGAAAGCCAGGTGAAAGGAACGCAGCCAACAGTGGGACCAGAGAACTGTGTTCACTGAGGGAGCCTGGAGTGTAAGGCCACAGAGGGAAATCAAGAGAATCCAGAGACATCTATGAATATACTCATATATACTATGAATATAGAAGGTAAGAAGTGACTCTTTTGCATTTCCTTTTTAAAATCCAGTGTGTATCTCTAAAGGAAGAAGGGGCTCTTCCCTTTCTGTCCTCCTTTCTTCCCCCCAGTATTTAAGTATCTAAGTTTATAGTATCTAAGCCATTGGTTCTTTCACATAGCTGAATATTCAGGCAGAATTCACATGTAAACTTGTCCCAAATGCTCTTCAAGTTTGTGAAACTGAATTAGGATCTCACTGTGCCCACCCGGCTCTCCTTTTCCAAGTGCTCTCTTTGTGTCCGGCTGGTCTCTTCATCCAGTCCCATAATCTCATGTTCTAGCTACAGTTCTCATGAAAGGGAGTCACTTTCTAGAACCTGTGCCCCATCCATCCTGGGCTGCACAATGGGATGGCCATGCCTTAGGACTGACACCCAGGGAAAGATGGCCTAGTGCAGGGGGTACCTGGGTCTAGCCGCCAGTGTGCTACGGCCTAGACTAGGTACCACCCACTCTTATCTGATCCTGCTCTGATTACTAAGATTGGACATGTGACTTAGAAATCACATGATCTTAACTTTGCCAGGCAGCAAACAGGAACCAAGGGCACGTTGTCCAGCTCTCCAAAGCAAGAGTCTCAGTGATGGGACCTAACCCCAGAATATGTGATGGATCTCTCTCTCTCTTTTTGTGTTTTTGAGACAGGGTTTCTCTGTAACTTTGGAGCCTGTCCTGGAACTCGCTCTGTAGACCAGGCTGGCCTTGAACTCACAGAGAGTGATGGTTCTCTTTAAATTACATTTGCTTGTGTGTTCCCATGAATGTCATGGCATACACGCGGAGGTTCTGAGAACTCACAAGGGTTGGCTCACTCTTCCTACCATGAGTCTGGGCGACAGAACTCAGGTCATCAGGCTTGGCAGCAAGGCCCTCGGTCTGCTGGGCTGTCTTGCTCACTCCCTCGAATCTCTCTGATTCATCCCTCTCTAGGTTTTGTCCTTACAGTTTATTTGGTGAACCAGCCGAATGTTCTGCAGCTTGACGGTCTGGATTTTACTGTGCATGTCCCTGTGGTGTATTTTAGCATGGTCCTCTTAAAAATGAAACTCAGAAAATTAAGAAAATGAATATGCTATTCTGAAAGAGGATTGAGATTTTTTTTTTTATTAGTTTACAGTGGTTAGGTATTAAAGCAACATGCTCTTCCACAGAGCCTTTCCTCAATGAGATTGATTTATCTGTGCTTCCAATAACATGGCTTCTTTTTAATGTGAATTGTATCACAAAATAAGTAACTAAAAACAGCTCTGCACCCACAAAGGAAAAACCACTCACAAGACTCACAGTGCACGGCACTTGTTAGTGTCATTACAACGGAATGGAATGTTCTTTGTAGACACTTCTGGGAGCTGCCGCTGGTTTCCTTGGCCATCCACTACTGCCTTGCGCTGCGGCCTCTGGGGGCCTGGGTGATCTGCACCTTGGCCTCTCTCTGCCTCAGAGTCTGACTCCAAGGAGTCTTGATTTTACTCTGTCTCTCTGAATTTGTTGGACGTCTCTGAGCGCCAGGAGAATCTAACTATACATGACGTTAGTCACTCCTTTTACCATGACACAGTCTCTGGACATATCAGTCAAGAGCAGGTTTTGAAAGTTATCTTTTTAAAATCAGTGAACTCAGTTTTATGGGATTGCTTGGTATCAGTGTTCAAAACAGGACAGCAACGACAGCTACTCTCTAGCGCGTTTTCTGTTCTGGACCTGCTTTAGTTCTCAGGAGCTCTGTCAGGGTCTGTCTTCTAAGGGGATGGAGGACAGAGACAGGGTCTTGACGTATAGCCTAGGCTGGCCTCAGACTTGCTGCAATTCTCCTGCTTCAACCTCCATGAGTGTTAGGATTAATGGTGTGAATTACCACACCCATTCAAAACCTTTCATTGCAATGTATTTCTTATAGAAACTGGTGGAATTACAAGGAGGATCTATTGGCTGTAGGAGATGAAGTACCGCGGTTTCTGTATGAACCATGGCCAGACCCTCCTCATCTTAGGTTTTTAACCCCGGCACAGTCTGTGCTGGGCCCTAGGAAATACGGGTGTGGCTCAAACCATCAGTAGGCCACATCTTTCAGGTGTTCCCCTGAGCCAGGCTTTGTTTACGCATTAGGTTGCATTATTAACTCATGATTTTTGACAGAGGTAGGGACGTAGTCTCTGTTGTGAGGTAGTCTACATTCGAAACTTGAGTCTGTGTAACGTGGGAGAATCTATTCGACTTCTCTGTGTCTTAGTCTCCTCCAATGCACAAGAGGACTGACACAGGCCCCATGTTTAAAGACGATCGTGAGGACCGAGTGACAGGCTTTGTTAATCCTTGGGACAGTTTGTTCCTGGCACATGGTAAGAACCACAAGAGTGTCAATGGATATTGGCTCATTTCACCGCCATCATAGATACCTCGAGGTGTTTGAAGTTTTGTTTCTCTTTCCTCTGAGTTGAAACAATCCCTCCTGCACTGAAAACACAGCTCATAAGACTTAGGCAACTATCTACCCGCTGCAAGGTAAGGCCCAGGGTGCCCAGAAAGTTGTACAATCCCCAAAGTCCAACCACTGATTTCAACAGTTATCAGTTGCTTAGACAGGAGACTGCAGTGGAGCTGCCAGCCAGCCAGCCAGGGCTGCAGCCTCTCTGATGCATTTCCCTCCTGCAGGGCCCTTTTCAGTGGTCCAGCTGCCTCTGAATCACACACAGCCCTGCAAATATGCGCCCACTGCTGTAGGTCATTAATAAATTCACTGGTTTACCAAATGAGCCTGGAGTGGAATCCTTCCTGCGGTCTATAGTCAGTGCCCTCTCTGGAGAGACAGGCATTTGTTCATGATGTCGACAGTACTAACCACCCCATCTTAGATGAGGTCCCCCAAAGTCCCCCACAGGCTGAGCACCAGTCTGGCTCTCTCACTAAGGCACACCTCCACATTTCACCTGCAGCTGCCCGCTGGGAGACAGCCCAAGATTTGTGTTCACACAGATTAACAGAATTATCCGCATGGTAGATCATTTCTTTTGGAGAAAATACAGCAGGAGAAAGGAGGGAGCGTGAAGGGAGATTTTTAAAGCCAATTTTATGCAGAGACTTTAGAGCTGAAAGAACGAATATCATTATACTCCTTACTTTGTTCAATTCTTTTTCATGATTTGGTTGATCTGAGACCATTGCAAACAACTCTCTCCGTTTCTTTTCTGGTTCTTTAGTAGAAGGGGAATATGACGATTCAAGTCTACAAATTAAAAATAAAATAGGCAACACTTAAGTTTAACTTGGCAAATTGCTAATTTTATTGTTAATCTATGTCATTGGCTGCGTAGAGACAGATCACTATATTATTAACACTAATAGCTATAAAAATTGCTAATTCTAATAATTCCAGTCCTGAGAATATTTCTGTTTTTTGAATGGGAGTGGTTTAAATGGGAGAAAAGGTAGCAGCTAATAGGCATTTCAATTATACATTAAAATAGGCAGGTTACTGGGGTTGCATATGTACATAAGACTTCTAAAAAGTATTTATTTATATATTTTATGCACCCACGTTCTTTGTTTGCATGTACGCCTGCACATCAGAAGAGGGTATCGGATCCCGTCATACATGGTTGTAAGGTACCATGGATTTGCTGGGAATTGAACTCGGGACGTCTGTAAAAGTAGCCAGTGATCTTAATCACTGAGGCAGCTCTCCATTCCCTGTAGGTATGATTTTTGAATAAGAAGAAAAGACTTCCTTTTGTAATAAAATAGGTTGGGACCTGGAAATACACTCAGCTACTGGCACATCAGTTGCTGATGTAGTGAGAGAAAAAACATACGTCAGAGTCTGGGAGCGCACACAGCCAACAGAGTGCAGAAATGACGACCTCTGACAGTGTGGCCAGGGCGGCGACTCAAACGTGCCCAGTTTTTGGTTATTTGCACATAAAATGGGACAGCAGCCGCTTGTCAATACTGGGGTGGGGCAGTGAGGGAGGGGAACTCCCAGGAGGACAGCCCTGCTGGATGCTTAGAGAAAGGCAGCTAGAGGGCCACTTCTCTGTAGGGGGAAACTGGAGCCAGTCATTAAAATACAAAGTAGAGCATGGTGGGGGAGGGGCGAACAGAAGCTCCAGGAAGTTAGGTGAGGTCACCACTGCAGTCTGTTGTGAGTGTAAGCTGGCCTTCTGGTGACATCAGAAACACAGAGCACACGAAATAAAACCACAACTCCAAATCTGAGCAATCGTGGAGAAATAATTGATTTAAAAATTGGAAATAAAGCATCACTCGAAAAGTACAAATTCATAGTGGCCTCCCTGGCGTATAGGTGTCTAAGCTGGGCTGATCATTCTGTTCCCCCAACACTCCCTGACATATAGGTGTCTTAGATGGGCTGATCTTCCTGCCCCCCCCCCCATTCCCTGACATATAGGTGTCTAAGCTGGGCTGATCTTTCTGGCCATCATAGTATCCCCCCCCCCCCGCACTCCCCACATTCGAGTTTATGTAGGCCAACAGCGTGTGAGTGTAATTGCTACTGTTGTGTAACGATCCTGGAAGAACCAACTGCTGTCAGCTTTACTATGAATATTGTCTTCTCCTCCATATGTACAAGTGAACATGCTTTTCACACAACCACAGTACACACTACATGCTGTTTACTTCCATTTGATCATAGTACACACTACATGTTATTTTCCAGGGTCCGTATGTCTCTCACTGACCTTAACCACTGAGGCGTCTTTCCTTGTTCCCACATCCTACAACTTTGAAGAAATAATTACTGCCCGAAAAGCAGTAACAGTTATCTTTCAGTAAAATAGCCTCGATCATTTAGCTATTCAGATTTTAAAAACCCTATCATTCATTTCATTAGCTTGCTGATTCTGAGAAGAAGGTTCCACACCAGCGAATTGCTAAAGACATCAGACCATCTCTTCAGAACCTCAAGCACTGAGAATTCTCAGAAGGCCTCCATTTGGTGGCTGTGAAGCTACAATGCATGTCTGCTCTTAAGGAGGAAAAAATTGTGTTAGTAATAACTTTTTAAAAAGAGATTTATCTTATTTTAAATTACATGTATGTATGTGTGTGTGTGCACATGAGCACAGGTGTCCTCAGAGGCATCAGGGCCCCTGGAGCTGCAGCTACGTGTTTATGAGCCACCTGACCTGGATGCTGGGAACTGACCTAGGGTCCTCTGGAAGAGTAGCAAGCTGTCTCGGCCACTGAGTCATCCCTCCAGGACAAGCAGTAGCTCTGTATGTGGAGCTGCAGGTCGTGAGTGCAAAGGCAAAGTTACCACACCATCAGCGAGAGGAAAGGATAGCATCAGGCTTATAGGCAACCAAAAAAGCAGAGACAATAAAAGAGTCAATCCCATTTCCCTGCAAATTTATAATTAAACACCAGGTCTACACTGTTATTTCTATTGATATCCTAAAGAATGCATGGTAATTCAAATAAACTTTGTTCAAATATGAAGCCTTCGAATGCACACACACATCCTGCCTCGGGAAAGTTCCTCTTGGGGGAGAGCTGTACCTTTTCCTGTTGTCGTGAGCAGTCTGGAATTCTCCCATTTTCAGCAGCTCCCTGTGCAAGTGCAGTCTTTCCATTTCTATAATCCTCAGAAGATCATCACGTGACTGTAGCTCATTCTTCACCTCTGACAGTCCTGCTTCCATGGCCTGCATTAAAAAATTTTGATGTTCATGTTATAATTATGATGCATGATACATTAAAAACTAACATGTAGCCCTCAAAACAATACAGGACATCATTGCCCTTGGTTGTCCATCAGACCCTACTGCTGAAATACTGGTTGTGAGACATGGGGAGATCAAGCCGATAGTGCCCTCCCTGCAGGGAAGCTTGCATAGTGCCAGAATATGCTATGTGGGCTGCTGTGGGAGACAATTATGCAATGGTATTACCCAGTGGGAGACATGCCAAGCTACGTGCGCCTGCCGGTGCAATAGTGGCACGGATGCTATGGAGACAACCAATCCCATCCTGATTGGATTTGAGGCTTGCTCCACAGGAGGGAACTCACATCTGGGATGATGGGGAGATCACAAGTCCCAGGGAGAGGCTGCTGCTGTTACTTTGCTGAACAAACATGTTGAAGTGTCTTCTGAATATTTGTTTATATCCATAAGGCAGTGGTGTTCTCGGCCTTGGTCAGAGGAGCTTCTTTTTGCAGTGGGTGGTAGTTAACTCAGAGGTGCATTACTGGTCAAAATGCTGAGAATAAGTGACTGTGGGCTCAGCCCTAAGTGGGGCATTTTATCACCCACCCCCTCCAGGCTCTGCAATGTTCCACATGATGTGTGGTGCACATGGCCTGGCTGCTGCACTCGTGAACTCATGGCAGCCGTGGCTAACTGTGTAAGACAGGGCCTGTCAACATCCCATCACTGGGGAGACAGGGCTCTTGAGGACCCACTCCTCCTAGGGAAGTTATGGGTAGTGATGGCTTCTGGGGAAAGGCAAATCGCTGTCTTCCATGATGTAGCCACAGGGAAGGTGCCATGTTATAGTACATAAGTCCACACCCATGAAAGCAATTCTAGTGACACCCACAAGGTCACCCCCCACTCACTCACACACATACGTACACGCGCGCGCGCACACACACACACACACACACACACACACACACACTTTCATACTCTCACACATATACATACACACATACACTCTATCATTGGCACACTCAAGCACACACACCCACACACATAAATGCACACACATTCTCACACATGCACACAAAGACACTCACAGTCTCTCTCACAATACTCACACATATGCTCTCTCTCACACACACTCATATTCACATCCTTTCACAAATACACACACTCTCATATACACATTTTCTGGTGCGGGAGAATTATCTGTATTCTGTCAATCATATTTTAATAAAACGCTGATTGGCCAGGCAGGCAGTATAGGCGGGAAAGCCCAACAGGAAGTAGGGGTGGAGCAAAGAGACTGGGAGTATTCTGGAAGCAGAAGCTCTCTCTCAGGCACTCCTGCGCAGATCACTGAAGAAGCAACATGTAAGCTGCCCCCGCTGGAAAAGGTACTGAGCCATTATGGCTAACATAGATCAGAATAATGGATTAATATAAGTTATAAGAGTTAAAAAGAAGCCTGACCTAATGAGCCAATCAGTTTATAATCTTATGGAGTCCTGTGTATGATTTTTCTTTGTTGCTTGCCGGCTGTTGGGGTACTGGGAGGG